TTGGCTCTGTTGTATTTAAAGATGGTGGCATTTCCTAATTTGAGGCAATGAACAATTGTAAAAATTCTCCAACAATTAGAGAAATGTATAATGCGTTAAATAATAATTAGTTGAACTTGGAATCTTATAGATTTACTCATTTTAGGTAAACAATTTTTTAGATTTCTACAATTTGCATGAATCAACGAATGAATGCTAATGGGAGCAATTGAAGTTTAGTACAGAATAAATTATATGTTAGTTTATTTTGTATGGACAAATTAGATTTATACTTTGTTAGTATAAATAAACACAATAAAAAAGCAAAAACAATCTGTTAGTTCTTAGTTTTACTAGTTTTATGGTTTGTTAGCATATTGATATTTTAAGGTTTAGTTATTAGTTTATTTATAAAATACTTGTATTGTGAATAAACAACAGCATGATCGTAATCATATTCCAAATATATTTATTAGTAATTTGAGAGTAAAGATATAATGAAATAAAAACAAAATTAGGTCACAACATGTGTTGAAAAAAATTATTGAGAAAGAAAAAATTATTATTAATTTAAGAATGAATTTAAGGATAAGGAAAAATTCATAAACTTATTGATTAAATTAGTGTTCTGTTAAAGAAAATAACTATGTTTTTTAAGAAAGAAAGGACCTGTCATTTTTAAATAATAAATAATTAACAAAATGTTAACAATTGTTAAATAAAAAGCAAGAAAATAGTATAATTTTTTTGGTTTTTTATGTGTTTGTTTATATTTTATATGCATGTTACATATTAGATCAATTAAATGCTAAAATCAAAGTAAAAATAAAATTTTAAATAAATAAATTAATTTCCCATGTTTAGATTATATTAAACAAATGAAAATAAGAAAGGTGAACAGATTGATTTATTAAAGGAATGAGTTTAATTGTTAGTTTTTTAGATTGAGTCATTTTAATTCATGCAAAATATTTTAGAATTTCATTTTTATTTCAAATTTGATGGCATGAATTGAGGAAAAGAAATTAAATTGAAAATTTTTTTTTTCTTACCATTGAATCTCGTAAAATTATTGATTTTAGCATTATCTTTAAGAATAGAGTTAAATCATCTGATGATGCCATCTTGAGCAAGAGAAGAAAATGTGATAGGAATAATGCAAGTGGTTGCAAAGTCCAAAAAGAGTTTAAGGTTTTTGGATGAGAGAAGGGAAATAGTTATATTAGTGTATAATTTGTAAAAGGTTAGGCTTTTAATTTAATTTAAATGTATGAAGGGTTTAGGTCTATATTTTTGGGCTTTAAGTTATTGAAAATAACAAATATTTGTCGGCTTATTTGTAGAAAATGAATTACAAATATGTTTTTGGGTTTATTTAGTTAAAATGGACTAAATATGTAGGAAATATAGATTGTTTTATAAAATGGGCATTTAGGGTATGAATTGAAAAAGAACTTTTGTCTTTTTAGGTAAAGAAGGCTAGTTTCAATTTAGGTAGTAATATTTGAGAAAAGGAGTATTGGAATATGAGCTGTTAAAAAAGAACAAAGAATTATAAAGACGAACAAAAAGGAGAGCAACCATAGGGAATGTGGATTCGAGTATGGAATTTTCTTTATTTGGCTACTTTTGTTTCTGATTTGTTTGGTTTATGAGATTGAATTTTATGTTCTTTTCTTGGAGTTTAACTTTTTGAATTTTGGTTGTATGTATGAGTTTTTTAAAGTTGAGACTTTCTGCTAGTGGTTTGGTTTGGAGATTTTTGTCTCTCTATTGGAGTGTAAGATTTGATAAGAATGAAAATCAAGAAATTTTTTTTAAAAAAATGAGTTTTTATTTTTGGACAATGAGTGCTTAATGGATTAATAAAAGGTTTATTTAATTATGTTAACTTATTTTTGCTTGTCTATTTTAAGAGTAACAATGCCTTTGGTAATTTGAGTGGAATCCTCTCAAGTTTGAAGTTTGAAATACTAAAATTTAAATTGACAAAAATTTTTTTGTACTATTATTACAACCCAAAACAATTAATGAAATGATATATATATATGATATAATAAAATAAATTATCAATTTTTACTTAACATATCACAAATACATCTTGAAAAGTTAATCATTAAATATAAAACATTTGTTGGAAAAGCAAGATTTCATATATGTTTGATCAATTAAATAGAACAAAATATTATAGAAAACAAATGAGTCATAAATAGTAGAATCTGCTAATACAAAATATTACAATGATGAAGTAAAAATTATTTTTCAAAAATAATTGCCACCTTTAATATCTTAAGAGTATCGTAATTCTTTTACATGATTTAAACTATATATAAGGAGCTTAAAAAAATATGGTGGAACTTGTAAAGAAAAGCTTGAGTTGAAATTATAAAATTAAAAAGAATGCTTTGTCGAAAATAATAATGTAAAAACAAGATTGGAAATTAAAAACAATAAAAGAAAATATCTTGGAAAAATAACCCTTTTAATTGAAAAAGAATTTATAGAACAAAAGCTTTGTTATTAACAAATTAATCACCTAAACCAATAACTTAACTAAATAAATAAAAATAAATAAAAACTAAAAACTAAAAGAGAGAAGAGAAGTGAGGAGTGGGATGATTGAAATGAAGGAATAGCCTTCCTAATTAAAAAAAAAAACCTAAAAACTAAAAACTAAAAGAGAAAAGAGAAATGAGGAGTAAGATGATTAGAATGAAAGAATAGCCTCCCTAATTATAGAATGGGATTCAGCCAAGGAATGGGATTCAGCCAAGGAATGAGATTCAGCCAAGGAATGGGATTACAATATACATTTTCAAATTCAAACTCTAAAGGATAAGCTTGAACTTTATTTTCAAAGTTGCATGAAAAAGATGAACTTTTCAATCTTGGATGCTTTGGTTGACATGATGATGATCTTGGCCCATGACTTCACTTGATGAAATCTTGATAAATCTTTCTCCTAGGTTCAGTTATAGTGGATTTTAAAAGAAGATAAAGATAAATTTGTTTTTTATCCAAACTTTTGATATTCAAAGTGATAAAGTCATCTTCTAATCAGAACTTTTCAAGACTAAACAAAAGACTCATGATTGGCTTCAAACTCTTTTTGGTTGAATGGATTGAGCTTGGAAAGTCCAAATGTATGCAAACTTTTCTTGTCCTTTATATAATCGAATGTACTAGTGTCTATATGCAAGTCATACTCTTCATGGCTAAGCAAAAAAACATGTTTAGCTTGAACTTTTACCTTGGCTTAAAGTGAGGAAGTCCAATTAAGTTTGTGCATGCTAGAATATGGACTAATGATGGGTGGCATTATGCATATAAAATTGGATTGAATGTGAGTTTTGCATGATTACACACATGGCTTGTATGAAAATGAGTTTTAAGCTTTAAAAACCCTAAGCTATGAAAATAACATGAAAAACACCAAAAACTATTTTAAAATTTAAATTTTAGTGCCATTTTGACCTATAAATCTCTATATGTTTTAGTGATATCAATAATAATTTTAATCATGAGGGCTAGTTGAGATTTTTCGAGAGAAACTTATTTCATTAGAAGGAAACTCCATTAGGAAATATGTGTGCATAGCTTGATATGAGATATTCGATCACAGGTAAAAGTGACAAATTTGCCTATGTTAACTATTCTTTAGGTATTTTTTTGTTAAAAAAAATCAATTTTGATGAAGTTTTTCTCCAACTCTTCTTTTACTTTTGAGTTTTGCAACTTATGAAAGATTGATAGCTCTAAAAGTGCAATGCTTTTGTGTGGCCAGTGGTTTTAGATAAGATCCCCACTAAGCTATTTTTATTGAAGAAGGTTTTGTCAATTTCATTACTGAAAAATCCTATGTCCATGGTGTAATATATTTAAGGGAAGCTCTGATCATGTTTTATTTAATTATGTATGGGTGGATTTATTTTGGACTAAATTCTTAGGTTGGTAAAATCTTTGCTAGTGCTGACAATGAACTTTAAGGAAATTTATGCTAAATTTTTTTGATACCTTGTTCTTTTGTTCCCTTAAAGCATGGGTGATTGCATCCCTGTGGTCCGTTTGGCTTGCTAAATATGAGTTAGTGTTTGAACAAAAAAATATTATAATCGAGGATTTACTATATGTTGTTAAGTTAAGGTTTCCCCATTAGATAAAGGCAACTAAGGAAGACATGGCACTCTCAGAATCTATGTGGTGGGACAATCCGAGAAAACGTAAGGGTATAACTTAAAAAGATAATATAAGATCTAGTATATAATAGGTTCTTTTCAGGAGTTATTTTTTAAAGTTTAATGTTGATGGTGCATCTAGATGAAAACTAGGTCCTATGAGATGTGAGGGGATAATGAGGAACAAGAAAAGATTTGTTGTGACAATGTTATCAGGGCTATAAGGATTCAAGACTTAAATGTAGCAAAACTAATGGTGATAAAAACAGCTTTAGAGTTGTTTATGAAAGCTAATTGAAAAAATAAAGCAAGTTTGATTATTGAATCAAATTCTAGAGGGTGATTAGTTAGTGTACTAAGGTTGAATCTTGTCCTTGGACTCAATCGGATTTTTTTTAGTCATTGAATCATTGGCTAGAGAATTAATGGCAGTGAGTTTTGTGAATGTCTTTTGTTAAGCAAATGAAATGGTGGATTCTTTGACTAAAGCCGAAGTAAATCGATCAAACATGTTCATGGCCTGATGGTAAAAGGTTCATGTCTTGTTGTTGGGAGTTATGTTATGGTGTAAGCTTTGGACTTTTGTACCAATGTTTGTGTTCTTTATTTTTCAGTATTAATGAAACCATTTTTGATTTAACAAAAAAATGTACAACCACATATTACATTTTCTTTCTTATATTCTTTTGTTTATATTTATTTGGGGTTGATGACGTATAACAAAAGCCTAATAAGAAAGAAGAAAAATTCGATACTGACATTTATATAGAAGGTGTAAATTGACCCGAAAAGAACAACTTATAATTAGTGGCAAATGCAAATGCAAATGCAAAGGTAAGGTATCAATAGACAATTGCAAAGATTGAAAAATAAGAAAATTTGAAAGAAAATTTCTCTAAACACCCTAAAAATTTTTGGTGCCAGGGAACCAGGATTGAGACCTAGTGCATCAGACTTGCTGCAGGTAATTTGAAATCATTGACCATTGTTTGCCTTAATTCTTCACAGAATAGTCATAAACCGGTTATAGTACATGCATTTAACCATGGACATGATTATATATGTAGAATTCGGCTCACTCATAGTTTATTGTCTTTATCTAAATATATGCAGCACCCTTTTGTCACTGGGAACTATCAGGAACCTCATCTAGTGTTTCATAGCTCAATTATGGTAAGTCTGATTGCATTTATCTTTATTAGTTTGCTCTTTTCTATTCTTTTGACCTTTTGATCAATTATCAGGAAGCTGAAAGTCCAGTGATGACATCTGGGATAAACCTGAGGAGCTCGTACGTGTCTCCAAATTCATGTATAATGTTTATTTACTTTTTTCTATTTAGGGTTGAATTTAATGCTGCAAATTAAAATTGATGTCACAGCATAAACTCTAAGATCAGGTCAACCTGCACAGGTTTAAAGGATGTTTGTGAAATGGGTAGTAGGAGGTTCTCTACAGTATATCCTGTGAAGTTATCGGAACCAAGATCCTATTGGAGGGCAAGCAGTTGTGATGATGACATGTGTCAGATAGATGATAAAGATGATATTGAATTTGGTGCTTCAGTAAAGTTCAACTCTGTTTTAGCATATGCTGACTTGAATAAAGTAATCAGCTGTTCTTGGAAATCCCTATCCTGTTTCAGATGCTTATAATTAGCCTAAATAAAAAGGCTTAATTATTTATATGCACCAGAGTTTTAATCCCATGTGTGAACCCACCAAAGACTGGCCTTGCAAATTCGATCAAAGTTCTGAGCTAAGGGGAATTGCAGTAAACTTGTCTTTGGGTGAAACATTGGGAGCTGCTGGCGCTCCTGGAATGACTGGTAAGGAGAAGGATTTTACTTTTCCATGTGGACCTCCAGCAGCTGATGATGATGAAGTTACAGAGTCAAAAATTAGAGCCTTCCTGGATGAAAAGGTATGATTTACTTTACAAATACAATTCTTATTTCTTTTGTGGATGAGTGACAGGATCATCTTTAAGGCTTTGCTTGGTGGGAAGGATGGAAAAGGGTAAGGATGGAAAACTTGTTAATCTAATGGTTAAGATTCATAACCACTTTCCTACTTTGTAGCTAAATCATTAGATTAACAAGTTTTCCATGTTTATCACTTTCCATCTTTCCTACCAAGCAAAGGCTAGAAGCTGATTCTGTACTATTATTTAACCAGGCTGTAGAACTGAAGAAGATGCAATCTCCTCTATATGAAGAGTTTTACAACACATTGAGTGGAAGTCCTCTGACTCCTGTTGGAACTGCTAATGGTGAAAATATTTTGAGCTTACCTCCTAAAAGCAGGTCACCTAAGCGGCTGCCAAGCAGAAGACTCTCTGCTGTTGATTGTGCTGCCAACATAACTAGCCCAAAGATTCATTCCCATCATTTGTCAAAGACTGCTGTTGTTCATGATCGGACTTTGCAAGAAATTCAGCCACTTTCTGTTGTGGAAAGGAAAGGGCATCTTCTCAATGCTCAGCAGGAAATATTTAGTCCTAGGTTTGTTAATACTTCTTTGAGGTCTGCTTTAGCTTATCTCCGCTAGCAAAAAAGTTCGTCCCATTCTCTAATCTGAGAATGACATTGCAGCATGAGCCTTTTTGAGAGGCAAAGGATATGGAAAGAAGAGCTTGATCAAGAGCTTGAAAGAAAGCGAGGCAAGTTCTGTTTTTGTGCTCGTAATTTCAAATTCATTTAAGCTTATTAAGAAATGTGATTACTGTGTTTGAAACTTGAAACTGAATTTAGCCCTTTCTCAATTCTTTTGTATCATTCATGGTGAGGTAATGATAAGGGTGTGTGCCTCTTGCTAAATAAGGGAATCATGAGTTCATAATGGTCTAGTTCCTGTGTGTTTGGCGTGAGTTGAATTCAATTATGTTTCTCCATGACTTAGTCATGTTTGATAGTCTAAAGAATGGCCCCTGTTGTATTTTCCTTGGCTAATATGACATTTGCTTTTCCATGTTTTGTTAAAGTCATATGCAATCAGACAATTTATATTTTAACATATAAAGCAAAATGGTTTGCAGACAGCTGACCTGCAGGTTTTAAAAAATCATCTCCAAATATAGTTCTAATTGGACAAAAGAACAAATACGGTTTGTTTCCTGCAAGTAAATATAACTGTTACTTTGTTAGCGCTAATGAAAAATAAAATACCATTCATGGGACCTTATCATTCTGTATTCATTTTGGTGAGCATTGCCCAGTAATTTGTAGTGGTAACACTTTATAATATGCATATGAGTAGCTGTAGTATAATCTTCTATTCTGCCTATGTACATGAATTTGTTCAGCAAAAGAAATCTAGTATGGCATTTCATTTTGCTTTTATCTTTTTTCCTTTTCCATTTCTTTAAATTGGTCTATCATATATTTTACTAAGGAGTTGTTTGGTTCGAGAGATCTTAGATTTGGGAGAGTGTGATACCTAAAAAAGTTTGATATTTGGGATTTTGTTTGATTTTCAAAATATCTCGTAATCAAATTCACTTGTTTGATTGGAAGATTTTTGGTTTATTAATTCATATATAATTATCATAATTTTCTTGACAAGTATTTTGTTTTAATAAAAAAAATCCAAACGACAAATAATACTTTTACAAGCAAATGAGAAGAAAGATTTTAATTTTTTTAATTAAATATACTTAGTTACAACATTTAACTAGATATCAAGCCTTAATTGTTGTATTAAAATATAAAAAAAATCAATTATGGCATTTAGAAGAGCTTAACGTCTTATTTGTTTTTGTAAATGTATTGAAAAAAGCATCAAATAAGGTATTTGTTCAAAAGAAATGTCTTATTTGAATTTGTAAAGATTTTGGAAAACTATCTATTAAATAAGCTATTTGTAAAGAAAGAAACACTTTATTTGAATGTGCTTTTTAAATATGTTGAAAAAATCATCAAATAAGGAATTTGTTTAAAAAAATACTTTATTTGCTTTTGTTAAAATTTTAGAAGGTTATTTATCAAATACAACATTTGTAAAAAGGAAACGTTTTATTTGAATTGGTTAAATATGGCGTTTGTTTAAAAAAACATTTTATTTAATGCTTTTGTAAAGATTTTGAAAAAAATATTTAATAAGGTGTTTGTTTAAAGCAAATGTCTTAATTGATTATCAATTAACGTGATGTTATAAAGAAGAAACATCATAATTAATATAAATTAAAGTGTTTCAAGGAAGAATCAATTAAGGTATTTCTTCTTTTAAATGTCTTAATTGTCATATATTAAAACTAAATTAAAAATAAGGTAAAATTAAAAAAAAAAAAGTTAAAATTGAATTCTTGACTTATTTTTCAAAGGGTAATGAATATATGACAAATTTTTTATTTAGGTTAAATTTGGAAATAAGTCAACTTTCCTTTGGAATCCTAAAATACCACAGGGAAATATAGGTTTTTGATTTCGAAACTTTGGATACTGTTGAGAATTTGATATTTTTCCTTATAATTAAATTATCCTAAACCAAATATGAGAAATAAATACCCACTATTAAAATTTGAGGAAAATTTTATGGATTTTCATAAGGGATTCAAACAAAGAAATATAAGCATTTTTTTGAAAAATTTTTTTTGTTGAAACCATTTTTGTGGTTTTGTCTCATGCATTTGATCTCAACATATTTAAAGCTCAAAATTTAAAGGTAGCCTACGTGGGTTATCTACAAAAAAATAAAAATAAAAAATCTTGCCCAAAAAAGAAAAATTTTACAAGCATAAAATAAAAATTCTTTTATTGATTTATTTATTTAAAAGACTCTTTAATATATACTTAGCCAATGTTCAGCATGAATAATGTTAATTGAGCCATCACCTATTTACCACTTTCCATTGTAGAATTATTTTGATTATTTATTGCAAAGACTGTCCATCATAATTTTATAAGAATTTGGGTTACAATTTTTTTAAAAAAGAGTAATGCTAAAGTGTTCGAATAATTTCATTTGTATTATTCATACAAAATGTCTATATATTTTTTGTCTTTTCACTATCTAATGAATGAGACATTGGAATAGTATTTTTTGAAAAATAAAAGTTATGTATAAATAGTTGAATCAAATGTTTGGATGCATGCTTTTTCATATTAGTAATTAAAGAATACTAGTTAGATTCATCTTTTACCAAAAAATGAGAAAAGAATATTACACTTTTATTAGGCAATAAATACATCACATCATATAAGTACTTTAAATAGCATTAATTTATCCATGTATTTTATCATATATGAGCTAATGCTTGAGGCTTAGCTTTGCTTGGTTTGTTATAATAATTTTTATTATTTTATTGAATTAGTATTTGATTGAGTTAAAAATTAGAGCGATATGTACAATTAACATAAAATAATAATTTAAGAGAGTTAACATTATTAATTGCTAATTCTAAAAGAGTTGGACACTAAAGTTAAAGAAGTAAAGACAAAGCTCTCTTAAAGTAGTGTAAAATAAACAAAAAATGTTAATCGGACATTTTCAAGCTAAAAAATTGGCTAAAAGAATATCCAGCAAAAAGAAACTATCATCAAACATCATGTAGTTTCAAACTACAAAAGTACCTTAACTATAAATTATTCTATGTAGTTAAGAAAAATTAGTAATTACCCATTATCGTTATACGCAATAACTTCGAATTTTTTTAGATCAATTTTCATAAAAATGCAATGATTGCCTAGATTTAGATTGTTTTAATTGCAAATTGGCACCAACCTCATAGAAAGTTTTGTTTTTCCTTCACATATATATTGAACATTCCATTGTTGTTCACTATTTGGAATGAAAAACATAATCATTGATTATCATTTTGGCAGATGTTGTTTAGCGAATTGACTAAAAATATACTATTGTCAAAACCAATATTATTTTAATTGGTTATAAGAAGAAAATATGATATAATAATGTAAAAAATTTTAGGTTATTGTTCATTACCAAAACATAGGATGTTTGCACATTCGTTTTAGTTAACATGCAGTAAAAATTTGAGATGTCGTTTTCATTATCTGTAATTTTTTTAGAGTTGAATTCTTCTTCATCAATATCTTCATTGTTGTAGATAATGAAATCTTCGTAATGTGTATTTGAATCTTCAAGGTTAATAACTTTTACATCATTGTTTGTTACTCGATGAGTATTAGATGAGATTGGTTGGTTTGAATATCATGGAGTTTTGCTTCAAAAAACCAAAACATTAAATTAAGGTATTATATAAAAATGAAATGTAAGAAAAAAAGTTGTAAACCATTTCTAACTTAAATTGTTTCAATGGTTTGCAAAACTATCACAAGTGAAGATGGAGATATCAAATGTTCTATTGGCTCTGTTGTATTTAAAGATGGTGGCATTTCCTAATTTGAGGCAATGAACAATTGTAAAAATTCTCCAACAATTAGAGAAATGTATAATGCGTTAAATAATAATTAGTGAACTTGGAATCTTATAGATTTACTCATTTTAGGTAAACAATTTTTAGATTTCTACAATTTGCATGAATCAACGAATGAATGCTAATGGGAGCAATTGAAGTTTAGTACAGAATAAATTATATGTTAGTTTATTTTGTATGGACAAATTAGATTTATACTTTGTTAGTATAAATAAACACAATAAAAAAGCAAAAACAATCTGTTAGTTCTTAGTTTTTACTAGTTTTATGGTTTGTTAGCATATTGATATTTTAAGGTTTAGTTATTAGTTTATTTATAAAATACTTGTATTGTGAATAAACAACAGCATGATCGTAATCATATTCCAAATATATTTATTAGTAATTTGAGAGTAAAGATATAATGAAATAAAAACAAAATTAGGTCACAACATGTGTTGAAAAAAATTATTGAGAAAGAAAAAATTATTATTAATTTAAGAATGAATTTAAGGATAAGGAAAAATTCATAAACTTATTGATTAAATAGTGTTCTGTTAAAGAAAATAACTATTTTTTTTAGAAAGGAAAGTGACCTGTCATTTTAAATAATAAATAATTAAACAAAATGTTTAACAATTGTTAAATAAAAAGCAAGAAAATAGTATAATTTTTTTGGTTTTTTATTGTGTTTGTTTATATTTTATATGCATGTACATATTATATCAATATAAATGCTAAAATCAAAGTAAAAAATAAAATTTTAAATAAACAAATTAATTTCCCATGTTTAGATTATATAAACAAATAAAATAGAAAGGTGGAACAGATTGATTTATTAAAGGAATGAGTTTAATTGTTAGTTTTTTAGATTGAGTCATTTTAATTCATGCAAAATATTTTTAGAATTTCATTTTTATTTCAAATTTGATGGCATGAATTGAGGAAAAGAAATTAAATTGAAAATTTTTTTTTTCTTACCATTGAATCTCGTAAAATTATTGATTTTAGCATTATCTTTAAGAATAGAGTTAAATCATCTGATGATGCCATCTTGAGCAAGAGAAGAAAATGTGATAGGAATAATGCAAGTGGTTGCAAAGTCCAAAAAGAGTTTAAGGTTTTTGGATGAGAGAAGGGAAATAGTTATATTAGTGTATAATTTGTAAAAGGTTAGGCTTTTAATTTAATTTAAATGTATGAAGGGTTTAGGTCTATATTTTTGGGCTTTAAGTTATTGAAAATAACAAATATTTGTCGGCTTATTTGTAGAAATGAATTACAAATATGTTTTTGGGTTTATTTAGTTAAAATGGACTAAATATGTAGGAAATATAGATTGTTTTATAAAATGGGCATTTAGGGTATGAATTGAAAAAGAACTTTTGTCTTTTTAGGTAAAGAAGGCTAGTTTCAATTTAGGTAGTAATATTTGAGAAAAGGAGTATTGGAATATGA